GGAAGCGCAGGCCCCAACTGCTGTCCCCGCTCCTGTTCACCTGGCTCACGGTCCCCGCCTTGCCTGGGCGGTCCTGCACACGCCTCTCCTGCCCTCGCCCTGCTGGGCTTCCATCTCCTCTACAGAGGCACAGCGGCCCTGCCAGGGGCCACCCGCCACCCATCCTGATGCAGCGTCCCCTGTGTCCCCTACCTAACTGGGGAGGCAGAGCCCGGCAGCTGGCAGGCCCCAGTGGGACTCTGATGTGTGACTCCCCTCCCGTAGAGTGGCCACGACCCTCAGGGCTCTTCGCATGGCCCCAGCTGGGGCTCCCACCGCCGCCAGCAGCAGCCCTGAGAAGGCCCTGCTCTGGGAGCAGGCCACCCCATGTCATAGGTGTCCAGTGGAAACGGAGTCACATGGGCTAGTTACAGCACTTGGGAGGGGGGTGGGCAGCTGGTGGCTGCCGCCCTCTGGTGGACGGCAGATGCCAGCTGTCACCTGGGGAGCCAGGTTGGGCAGGGACTTCACTCCAGGAGCAGCACTGCCTGCCTGGGCCAGAGCCCAGGGGAGAAAATGGGATGAAAAACACACGCCAGGGAGACACGAGGGCTTACAGGGGCCAAGAAATCCTTCCTGCCTGAAAGAGGAATGAGGTGGGGTAATTAAAAGTGTGGGCTGAGCCCAGTAGCAAGGGCAGGCTGTCAATCTCTGTGAGGCCCTGCAGGCCGGTCCCGAGGGGCGATGAGGTGACGTGGCCCCAGTGGGAGTTAAACTGGGGCACAGTGTGAATACAGAGCCAAATCCTCCACTCCTCCTGGGAATTCACGAGCTGTAGAAATGAACAAAGCAAAGGTGGGGGAGGGGTTCACAGGGCTGAATGCACACTCCAGAGGCACAGTCTCCGAGGGGAAGGCATGGGCCCTGCTGTGGTCTCAGCTGTGTCCCTTCCAAAAAAGATGCACTAAAGCCAAATTCAGTACTTCAGAATGTGGACCATGTTTGGAGATAGGGTCTGCAGGCGAAACAGTTAAGGGGAGGGTCACCGAGGGTAGGGTGGGCCCCTGGTCCAGGGAGGAGGTGGCACGTGCAGACAGACGCAGAGAGACTGGAGTGATGCTGTCACAACCTAGTACGCCTGGGCCACCAAGACCAGGGAGAAGCGAGGAAGGACCCTCCCCAGAGGCTTAGAGAATATGGCCCTGGTGACAGCTTGATTTGGGACTTCCAGCCTCAGAACTGAGGGAATAAACACTGTGGTCGAAGCCACCCATTCGAGCGTCCCGTAACCACGGCCAGCCCCTGTTCCTTTTTAGCATAAAATGCCCTGTCTTTCAGGGAAGGTCGCGTGATGGTGGGGACAGTTGTTTCCCCAAGGACCTACTCAATATGACACAGTTAGACGAAGATGCCAATTGTTTGTTTTTTTTTTTGAGACAGGTCTCACCCCATTGCCCGGGCTGAGAAGTACTGTGGCGAGTTGGCGTCAGCCTAGCTCACAGCAACCTCAAACTCCTGGGCTTAAGCAATCCTTCTGCCTCAGCCTCCCCAAGTAGCTGGGACTACAGGCATGCGCCACCATGCCCTGCTAATTTTTCTATATGTTTTTAGTTGTCCAGCTAATTTCTTTCTATTTTTTTTTTTTTTTTTTTTTTTTTAGCCAGAGATGAGGTCTCACTCTTGCTCCAGCTGGTCTTGAACTCCCAAGCTCAAACGATCCACCCGTCTCGGCCTCGCAGAGTGCTAGGATTACAGGCGTGAGCCACCACGCCCAGCCGAGATGCCAATTTTTTTTGTACTAGTTGAAATCCAAAAGTCTGGGGCCCATGAACCCCAGGACCAGACCAGGAGCTGCCAGCCAGGGGCCGGATGGAGTGCGAGGCCCGGGGCTCACTGCAGGGCCTGACGGGGGTCTCCGTCTCCAATCCCAGGGTCTCTGGCACTCTGATTCATACCAACGTACTGTGCACCTCCAGCCCTCTGTACCCAGCCCACCACCCAGCCCACATAGGTGACAAATTATAGAGATTTGCTGAGCAAAGCAAAGGCATCAGGCTAACAACCCAGGGATAAAAACGAGGATAGGAAAGTGGCAAGGAAGGGGGGCGTGAGGGCGAAGGGAAGGGCCTCCCTGCAGACAGACCAGGAAGCGAGGAATCGGCCTCCACCTGGGGGCCACATCCTCTCCCGCTCATTTTTAACCGGATATTTATTTAACAAGCTTGTCATACCCAGCAGCGTGAACACTGTGGCCAGAGTTACAGGCAAGTAACTGCACCAGCTGCTCGTCTCAGGGCTCCTGACCCAGTGCCCTTCCTGCCACGTGCCTGACTCCTAGGGGCCTCCTCATCTTTGCACATCCCCCCCCGCCGCCCCCGAACTCCCAGCAGGCAGGAGCGCCCACAGGTGGAGGCAGGTGTGCAAAGCTGCGCTGTATTAAAGCGGCCAGCGTCCTCATAAGGAAGCCCTCTCACGGCGGCAGCATCAAGGAGGGATGCCAGGCCGCACCTGCACAGGTAACACGGGGGGCTGGAGCTGGCCGCGGGCAGCAATGTTGCACCTGTGTCTTTATAGGGCTGTTCTTTTTTCATAGTTGATTCCACCTATTATTCTACACGGTGACATTATCCTGCAGATTGCAAGTTAGAGCAAAAAATAATAATAATTAAAAAAGAAAAAACAGTTGTAAGACAGCATCTCTGGAAATAAGAACAAAATTTAGAAAAAGAAATCAATAAGAAACTAAGCAGACGGTTGTGTTCTAGGGGAACTGCTGCTTAACATGCGATTTCACAACTCCCAGGTGCTCACACTTCGAGGGTGGAACTTCAGTTGATTTAGGATGAAAAGAAAGGTTTCTTCTCTCATCCTTCCATTGTACTGATTGACTTATTTTTGTCCTAAAAAGATTTTCAAACCCTATTGGTTCATCTGTCAGCTGCTCTCAGATAACTGCACTCCATGACCACGCAAAATTCCCGATTCCTTTTAGTTAAAAATACCTTGTGTGACAAGTCCCCCAGCAAGAGACGTGAATCAAAAGATGGCCACGCAGACTGGAGGCCTCGTTCCCGCAGACAGAGGGCCAGTTCCACGCAGACCAGAGGTCGGTTCCACGCAGACCCAGACCTGTTTCAACGCGACCAGAGGGCTCGTTCACGCAGACCAGAGCACGTTCCACGCAGACCAGAAGGCACGTTTACACGCAGACCACCAGGCGCCTCGTTCACGCAGACCAGAGGCCTCGTTCCACGCAGCGACACAGAGCCTCGTTTCCACGGCAAGACCACAGACTCGTTCCACGCAGCCGACAGCCTCGTTCCACGCAGACACAGGCCATCGTTCCACGCAGACACAGGCTCATCGCTCGACCAGAGGCTCGTCTCAACGCGGACCAGAGGCCACGTTTCACGCGACCAACAGGCTCGTTCCACGCAGACACAGGCCTCTTCAGCCAGACAGAGGTCCAGTTCCACGCAGACCACAAGGCGTGTTCCATGCAGACACAGGCTGTTCCCCCCCACCTGGGGGGGGGTCTCCGACGGCACGCCACTGAGGCACCCACTGGCGACACTAGGCAGTCCACGCAGGACACAGGCTCGTTCCACGCAGAACAGAGGCCTGCGTTTCACGCAGACCAGAGGCCACGTTCATCGCAAGAAGAGCCACGTTCCACGCAGACCACAGACCTCGTTCCAGCAGTACCAGAGGCCTCGTTCATGCAGACCAGAGGCCACGTTCCGGCAGACCACAGGCCTCGTTCCACGGCAGACCACAGGCCTGTTCCCGCAGGACCAGAGAGCACGTTCACGCAGGCACAGGCCTCGTTCACAGACCCACAGGCCTCGTTCCGCAGACACAGGCTCGTTCCACGAGACCACAGCCTTTCCACGCAGACAGAGGCCTCTTCCACGCAGAGGAGGCCACGTTTCACGCAGACAAGGCCTCGTTCCAAGACCACAGGCCCTCCTCCACGCAGACCACAAGCCTCTGTCCACGCAGACAGAGCCTCGTCCACGCAGACCAGAGGCCACGTTTCACGCAGACCACAGGCCACGTTCCACAGACCACAGGCCTCGTTCCACGCAGACCACAGACCTCGTTCCACGCAGACCAGAGGCCACGTTCCACGCAGACCACAGGCCTCGTTCCACGCAGACCACAGGCCTCGTTCCACGCAGACCAGAGGCCTCGTTCCACGCAGACCACAGGCCACGTTCCACGCAGAGCTCCACGTACTCGCGCTCCTTCCGCTTGCAGTAAGGCGCCCCGAGCAGAAGCCACCACAGATGGAAAACACGCGTGTGCGGGCTGCAGCTACTCTGACCCACTTGCCCACTGGACGGGGCGGGGCACTGACCTGCTCTGTCTCCACGAAGTTGGACACGTCAGCCATCGTCGTTCACGCCGCGGGTGTGGAAGCGGGCGCCGGCGCGCTCGCAGCTGATGCGGGAGACGAGGCAGGCCTTGGCCTGCTTGTGCGAGGCGTACACGGTGCGGACGGCCACCACCCCGCAGATCACCTTCAGCAGCCAGTCGCAGCAGCGCACCTGGTGCTGCCTCAAGGGCACGTGCAGCAGCTGGTTCCTGCAAGACGGAGAACACCGGTTCAGCTCACCTGAACCAGTGAAGGCGGGGGCTGGCGCTCTGGGACAGCGCGGGGCGCGCGCTCTTTCCCCAGGAGCCGGCACGCGCAGGCTGGGGTCTGGGAAGTGCACGGCTTTAGAGAGCAGCACAAACGGCGGGGCCGGGTGACGCGTGCAGGGGACGGGGGACAAGGAGTCCTTCCCCAAAGCCACCACCAGGCAGGCTGTCACTGTTGGCAGTGGAAGCCCAGCACGCACCTTTCAGGAAGATCACAAAGGAGCCTGTGTGCAGCCCTGTGTCCTCCACGGATTTTTATCATAAGCTCCATCAGCAAAAAACTTAATCATGTTTTACATTTAAGCAATGATCACAATAAATGAGACAAATGATAAAAATAATCACATTAAATACAGCGCACTGTCCGGGCGCGGTGGCTCACGCCTGTAATCCTAGCACTCTGGGAGACCCAGGCGGGCGGATTGCTCCAGGTCAGGAGTTCGAAACCAGCCTGAGCAAGAGCGAGACCCCGTCTCTACTATACATAGAAAGAAATTAATTGGCCAACTAATATACATAGAAAAAATTAGCCGGGCATGGTGGTACATGCCTGTAGTCCCAGCTACTCGGGAGGCTGGGCAGAAGGATCACTTGAGCCCCAGGAGTTTGAGGTTGCTGTGAGCTAGGCTGACGCCACGGCACTCACTCTAGTTGGGCAACAAAGTGAGACTCTGTCTCAAAAAAAAATAAATAAATACAGCACACTTATTTAAATTACATATATATACACATGCACGCCAGGGCTGCACCCAATGAGAGCATCACGAAGCAATCCAAAATAAATAAGGAAGGATGAGACGAGAATACAACTGGAGTGGAGCTCCGGCATCCCCTCCCCCGCCGGCGGGCTGTTCTGCCTCTGGACTCGGCCACCATACCAACCAACCCGGCAACAGCCACCCTGGGCACCATTCCAAGTGTTTTGGGATGGATTAGCTCACGTCACCCTTGAAATGACCCAAATATATTATCAGTGACCCCACTTAACAGATAGAGAAACTGAGGCCCAGAGAGGTGAGGAACCTGCTCACAAAGCCAGGCAGCGGCAGCGTGGAGCTGGGAGCCTGTGCTTCCAGCCCTGAGCTCCTCCTGACGAAGGCCCTGCGTTCCCGTCCGCACCCTCCACCCGCCACGTCGTCCTCCCACCCCCACTCACTCGGCCTCCCCGGCCCCCAGGGCACCCGAGAGTGCCATTCTGAGGCCCGTAACCCACTCCCAGGGAGGCAGGAAGACTCGCTCTTGCAGGGTTCCGAGCGAGTCTGCAGCGAGATGCCCTACTTGTTTAAAAAAGGCAACCCGGTTCCTGCCCTTGAGCCTTCCTCAAAGACAGCAGCATTTCCCCACTGCCGGCACCCGCCGTGAGCAGGCACAGACGGGGGCTTCTCCGAGCTCCCTGCTCGCAGGCCGCCCCCAGCTGCGAGCACCGCCCCTCTGAGCTCACGCGTGCAGCCCCGGCACCGCCGGCCGGAAGGACAGTGACCACAGAGCAGTCTCACAAACACACGGCCCGCTTCTGAGTCTCTCTGTAAAACTCAGCCAAACCAGCTCTAGAAACACATACATCACACCTGCACGTGGCATCCAGGCAAAGCCTCCAGAACATCCCAGAGTCTGCCGGCCCCACAGCTACGGCCACTGTCGTCAGGAGTCAGGGTTAGAAACCTTTAGCCAAATGGACAACCCTCAGGTAAGGCCTCTTTCCAGGGAGGCATGCCTGACCCTCTGGGGGAAGATGGCTCATGTCCCAGGAGGAAGATCCCCAAATCCATGAAGGAAAACAGAGCTGTGAGTTTCCTCCAAGACTTACCTGTGCCGGGAAGCACTGTCAGGGCGATCAATAAGCAGCCTGGGAAGATGCCGAGACTTCACCCTGTCACTCCCCACAGTTTACTGGCCACGGGCAGTGCTGACCCTGTCTGACCCCTGCTGTGGGTCTGCAGACCCCAAACGCTGGGCCACAACACAGCAGGCTCAGGGTGACTCAGCCCAGGGTGACTCAACTGTGGTCAGTGCTGGGGGTTCCACCCTGAGCCCAAACCCCACGCCCTGGCGCGCAGCACAGCCGAGCAGCCTGGCGCCCGCCGACGTTGCCGCCTCCTCTCCAACGCGAGACATAGTAGTCTGGTGTCCACTTCCAAAAGGGACACCACAGTCTCCTTCCCCAAATCCCTCTTTGCCTCACTGTTTGTGTGAGCCCACATGAGCCCACCACGGAGCTGGCGTGAGGGAGAAGCGGTTACAAAGGTGCTGGGGAATCCAGACACCCCAGGGCTCTCCTACGGCTTCAAGGAATGTCCCACCACCGACGGCCACCACCGCCTCCGCCTCCACGCACCCGACAGTCTGGTCTAAAATGGGCCTGCAGCGCCAGCCGCTCGGCAGAAATGCGGGACCTCAGGCCCAGCCCGGCCCTGCCGTGTGAGAACCTGCACTTCAACAAGCCCAGCAGCAGAGTCGCACGGACGGCAGAGTCCAAGCACATTACCGACCCTCCAGCTCAAAGATGACAGAACCAGGGAGGATGGGGGTGAGGGCACTGGGGTGCACGCAGGGACGCGGGCAGGTCCCTCTCTCCGAGCGGGAGTCACAATTCCCCTCGGGGCTCGGAAGCAGCGAGAACAGAACACTTGCCGCCCGACGGGAGCCTGTGACAGCCTCTGTGGGCGCACGGGTGGCGGGGGGTGGGGGGGTGGGGGAGGATGCGAATAAAGGTCAGAAATCAGCTCGCCTGTCCCGCCCCATGGCTGGGACGACCGACGCAGCCGGAAGACAGACCCTGGCCTTCTAAACCACCGCACGACGTGAGGTCTGCTGCAACGACTCCCCCAGCAAGATCTGCACTTCTGCCCAGCCTCGCAGGCCCCAGCGGGCATCTGAGGGGACGGCACTGCTGACGGCCAGGCCAGCGTGCCACCATATGGAATCACCACGACCCGCTCACAGGACTTGGCCATCCTGACCCCGGGGCCCAAAAAGGCCACTAAAGAACGCTTAGCTCTGTCCTTACTCGGAATGAAGGGGCGTCAGGGGATCCCACACACGCAGAAATCCAGCCACCTTTGCCTGGGCTTTGGGGCTTGCCTTAGCTTGTTACTACGAGTTGCCTTGAGCAAGCTGACTCAGTTTCCCTGTTGACGGGGCTGTTTTAGCTGGTGATTACCACTTTGGGATCTGGAGCCAGAATGCCTGGGTTCAAATCCTGGCTCTGCCACTTGCTAGGTGTGGGGAGTTTGGCAAAATTCCCTCGCTTGTTCATGCCTCAGTCTCCCCATCTGTAAAATGGTGCAACAGACCCCTCTGCATAGGTTATGAGGATGACATGAGTCATTCCCCAAGGAAGACAGCGACTGGAACACAGGGTAACAGCTGCACACGGAGGGTAACCAGGATTGCTGAGGAACCAAAGGGCTGGTCCAGGCAGGTGCTACCCTTACCTGCTCTCTTCACGGAGCCGCCTTCCTTTCCTAAATCTGCATCGGACCACTCTGAAGACACCCCGAGACCGCGGGGCAAAGGGTTTGGACCCACTTCCTTCTCACTGTGCTGAGCCCACAGGCATGGACCACCGCTCTCCAGAGGTGACCCAGGACATGGGGACAAGGGACTGAGGAGCCATCCAGAGCCCGTCCCCGTGGGACCCGCCCTCACCAGAAGAAGGAGCTGCCGCACTCGGAGCCGCCATGACCCTGCTTCTGCGTCCGCACGGTCAGGTCGAAGGTGGACCCGTCATTGGGGCACGAGAAATAGAACACCCCCGAGTTGAGGATCTTCCTCAGGGCTGCGAGCCGGTCCTCCTCCCTGGCCTCCTCCTGGAGCGGGTAGAACTCGGTGGCAGTGATCTTGTAGATTTCAGCATCTGGAATCCTGCCCACAGACGTGCAGCCGGTCACCAACACCAGGAAGCTCAGGTATGTGCCCCCTGGAAGGGAAATCAGACGCGAGAGCTCAAGGTCAAGGTCGGCACAAGCTCAAGATCGCGCGTGGTTGGCACAGCAGCTGGGCAGCTCAGGGCGACATGGAGGAACAGACAGCTGTTTCCAGCTGCAGCCGGGAAGGTGACTTCCTGTGGACCCGGCACCTCCCCGGCGCTAGAATTTCCACACTCACTGGCTCAAGAATCTGCCCGTCACCCACGCCGAGGGTGCAGTCCTGCGACCAGCAGCTCCCACCCGCCTGGGAGCAGGCTAGAAATGCGGATTCTCGGCCCTGCCCAGCTATTGGGGTGGGAGAGCCCTTTGCCCACATCTGCCACCAAAGCCTCTCCCTCCCACTAACTCCTCAGCCACTGCCTTGACTCAGGACCCCTCAAGTGGGGTCCATCCTCCCCGCTCTGTCATGGGCTGACCTTCTCAAACCCATCTGAGCATAGCCCTTCCCCGCCTATGTCCCTCCGTGGCTCCCACTTGCCCACAGGACTGAGACGGAAGCTCCCTGCAGGCCCACAGCTGGCTCCACAGCTGCCCACCGGTGTCCCTGTCCCACACGAGGCCAGCCACTGTCACGGGCTGGCTGTCCTCTGCAGCTGCTCCAACGTGCCACATGCCCTTGCACCCTGTGCATGTGTCCGAGACATTCCCTCTGCTGGGGACGTGCTCCCGCTGTCTGCCCAGCAAGGCCTGCACGACCCCTTCCCTGCACAGAGACCCCATCTCTGCCCACGGTACCCTGGGCTTCGGGCCCCAGCCTCCACCTTCTGGAACAGCATGAGCCCCCCGGCATGTCCCACGTGACCTCCCCACCTTGCCCTCCCGCTTCACCAAGCGAACGTCTACCCACACGTCTGGGTCAACTTGAGCCCTGAGCGTAGCCTCCTCTGAGAAGCCTCCCGCTCCCTCCCAGGTGCGGTCAGGTGCCCCTGCTAGGTGCCGAGGGCAGCCCGGGCAGCGCCTCACACACAGAGACACCGATGTCCTTTCCCGCCTGTGTCCCCCGCAGACAGGGCTCCTCAGGGCTGGGGCTCCGTTCATCGCTACCTCCTGGGCCTGCACAGCCGGTGTTTGATGATAATTCCTAAGTAAATTCCTGCCAAGCGCCACCCAGACCACCTCCAAGCCTACTGCTGGGTGAGTGCGGCACCCTCTCCGGGCTCCGCACTGTCACTGCCAGCTGCCCTGTGCTCCCCCCGACACACACAGGTGCCCCCCCCATGCTGTGTGAGTTGGGGTGCAGGGCAACGCTTGCCCCAAGATTTAGCTGAGTGGACAGCTGGCCTCGGGGCTGGCGTGGCGATGGCCCAGAGGACTCTCTTCCCACCTGCCCAGGTTCAAGGGGCCCACTCCCAGCGAGATGTGCTGCAAAGCCCGGTGGCAGCTACTGCAGTGATGGCTCAGAGACGGTTCACGCCTCTGACACGCCACCCAGAGACGGGCACAGTGCCTTCCCTCAGCACCTCCCCACGTCCTCACCACACCCACGGGAAGAGCCCCCTGCCCGGGCAGCTCTGGGTTTTGATTAAGGAAGCGCCGCTGGACCAGTGGGTCAGGGCTCCCACGCGCCACGAGACGCCATGGGGCGTGGCAGTGGCTCCTGTCGTCTCCCAGTCACACCAGGGAAACTGTGTTAAAACCACACAAGAATAAAGGCAGGTACCCTGAGGACAGAGAGGGCCGGGGCTCTCAGAGGGCAGGGGTGTGTGGGGGGGCGGACAGCTTAGAGCCACGGCCCAGGGCACAGGCGCCGGCACCCTCCCGCCTCTCCTGCGGGCCCAGCCCAGGCAAACTGCCCCGGAGGGGCAGGGGGACAGCCCCCGTGGCCTGGGCCAGGAGCGGGTTCCGGAAGCGGCATGGAAAATTCTGCTTCACGTCAGTCCACCCGAGTCACGAGGCCGGATTCTAGCACACTCCCTCACAGCCTCTGCGTGGGGGCCCGAGTCCCTGGCAGGAGTCCAGGTTGCTGGGAAGGCAGCGGCGTTTCCTGGGCAGGACAGCAGCCTGGGGGAGGATGCGGGGGGTGGGGCGGGCACAGCAGATGGGAGCACATCCGTTCCTGAGAAGGGGCAGGGGCTGGGGCGTGGGGAGTGAGGGGAGCCGGCACCTGTGGGTGCTGCTGCCGGGGCTTCTAGAACAGCCCGTGCACAAACAGCGCTGCCACCCCACGCGCAGCACGGGCTCTACTTAACCCCGGACAACGGGCGTCACCAGCCATCTCACAGGGAGGGAGCGGAGGCGCAGAGAAGTCAAGCAGCCTGCCCCAGGTGACAGAGGTGGGGAGCTGGGACGAAAATCCTCTTTCTGGCTACGCCACCTGGGCAAGTTGCTCAAGCTATTTACCCCATCTCCCTGCAGACGGTATCGCCAACCTGCCCAACCAGCCGCTCTCTCGGGGCTGTCGCCATCTTACACACGAGCGACCGTCCCCCAGGGGGCTGTGTGGGAGCCGAGATGCAAACGGGGGTCCGCCTTCAGCCCACGCTCTGCCAGCAAGTTCCAGTCAGGCCGGATTGCCTTTAAAAGATTCTGTACAGAGTGCGGCCAACCAAGAACCTGCTGCCGACTGCACGTGTGCAGCCCCCACATTTATACGCTGAGACCCTCATCCCCCGGGTGAAGGTACTGAAGTGAGGCCTTTGGGGGTGATCGGGTCATGAGGGTGGAACCCTCATATGTGGGATCACTGTCCTTATAAAAGAGGCACAAGTCAGCTGCCTCGTCCCTTCCGCCCTGTGAGGACACGGTGAGAAGGCACCATCTATGAACCTAGAAGCAGGGACCCCACCAGCCACCGAATCCGCTGGTGCCGTGAGGTCAGACTTCCCACCTCAGAACCGTGGGAAATGCACTTCTGTGGTTTGCAAGCCGCCCGGGCTGTGGAACGTGGTTACAGCAGCCCAAAGGGACTAAGACAGCATTCCCTGCTCATTTAAAAACTGACACCAAGCATTTTCCTCATTAAACAGTTGTAAATAATATATTTTTGCAGCATATTCTAAATACTGACGTGTAAAAATAAAACTGCAGTTGCTGTCTTCAGCAGTGCCCGGTGGCATTGCCACGGCGATTTGACACTCACTGTCACATATTACTTAAAGGAACACATGAACGAGTTCTTTAACAGATGGATATTTTACTCACATTTGCATTCTACTTCCCTAAAGAATCTCATCCTAATGTAGCTTAATCTGTGCTCCCACGTCTTTTGTTGAACACCCTCGCTCACCACGCAGCAGTTGGTTCCTAAACACAAAGTGTTTAAAAAGAGTTTCTTCTGGTTTGATCAATATATAATCGATCAAACAATGTAAAGAGTACAAGGTAAATAAAGAGCTTTGAAAAATTATCATTTAACATAAAAAGTAAAAATTTGTTGGAAAGGTACCTGCCTCTTAATGGGATGAATATTATTTATCGAAGGAATAGAAGTAAGTTTTGCACCAATTCTATTTTTCAGGTGTAAACACTAAAAACCCTTGTTCACATTAATAAATAGATGGGAACAGAAATAGCTTCGTATAGAAATGTCGCACAAGTCTTCAAATTCTTTCTGAGTTAGTGCTAAGTAAAACCGCAGTGGCCTTATTGAGGAAATCACTCTCAGTGCCGGCGGCGGAGAGCCCACTTCGTTCTCCTCCAGCGCCGTGGGAAGCAGACCATTAGATTTCCCCTGACTTGCAAGTAGTGTCTTACCTAGTCGCTGCTGTGACTTATTTCAACTCTGCTGACAGAAACACTGGAACTGTCCCCTTGCTTGGCACCCTAGAGGGAGCTACTTCCTCGAGCAAGACACGCGGGAAGATTCCGGATGGGGGCAAGGCCGGCTTCCTGTCCTAAGGCGGAAGCAGGAGGACACCAAAGGGATGGAGCAAACGAGAAGTCTGCCGTCCATCCCAGCACTCGGCAACCAGAAGCGCTGAGGGGCAAGAGGGCCAGTTTCCTTGCAACTGGCCAGTCTGAGTGGCCGCAGAGGAAGGCGTGGCCCCGCCTCAGGACGGCTGGGGAGCCACCGCCTCGGAGGGTCTCGGCCAGCCCCCCTCACCCGGCAGGCGGTTCCCTGGTTCCCTTCCATCCCGGCGTTGCTCTGTCCTGCCCATGCTCGCCCAGCAGCCCAAGTGTGCACTCTGTGTACCACCAAGCTTAGGGCAGGTCCTGGTTCCAGCCCAGCACCAGACTGCTGGGGTCACCTGTCGGTGTGGTGCAGGCCAGTGACGTCCCTCCCCCCCCAGAAGGGGCCTCTTAGGGGAGGGATGAAAGTGCAGCCGGCGGGACCCACCTGCCCCAGGCACCTGAGGCCTCTCCCAGTGCTCACCTTGAGCAGAGGATCCTGGCTTTGTTTTTGTGAGCCAGTTTTTGCTTTCTAACAGCAAGCAGCTAACCTGGCCTGCAGAGGGTCTCAGAGTCCTCAGCTGAGGCTGAGTTCAGGGCCTTGAAGCCAGTGGACATCACAGCAAAAGAAAGCTGAAACTCACAAGGCTGGGGCTTGCAGCGGCTGTACAGCCTCAGGCAAGGCTCTTACCCTCTCTGGGCTTCACAAGGGGACGCACCTGGTGGTCTCCATGACCGTCTCAGGCCGAAGGCTCTGGTTCCAGGGCTCCAGCCAATGCGAGACCTCGCAGGGGTCAGAGGGAGCCGCCGGAGTTGGGTGGGGGGATAGGGGGTAAGCTGTGGGTCACAGGCTAGAAGACACACTAGCCCTGGGAGGGGACACACGCCCCCTCAGAGAGCAGAAGGCTCAGAGTCCAGATGGCCCCACGTGGCACCCGCACTGCAGGGCGGAGAGCAGGATGCGCCGGCCTCTCTGTTGTCGGAGGGGACGGAGTCTCGGCTCAGGGCGGTGAAATGAGTTCCGGGATGGATGGTGGTGACGGCCGCATGACAGTGTGAATGTGCTTAATGCCACTGGACAGTACACTTAAAAACGGCTAAAACAGTACATTTTATGTTACATATATTTTACCATAATAACAAAAAAAACACCTAAAACCTCAGCATCAACTCAGACATTCTCCCCCCACCAGGACTGCCTTCAAAACCCAACTCTGTGTCAAGCTGCCAACATCCTGTCCCCGGCAGCACTAGGGTCTACGTCCACCTAGTGGCGGCCACTTGTCACCAGGCTGCGAGGGTCTGGCTGGCAGGACCCCCTGCCTGTCGGGCAGCAGGGGGCCTGCTGCGCTCGTGCTGGCCCAGCCCGGCTCCGAGCCTGCGCGGGGCCCGCCCCACCTTCTCTGCCCTGCTCACAGACTCGCACGCTCACGGCGACACCCAGGACTCAGAAGTCTCGGCCTTACCACCATGCGTGAAGTGAGGCCCTTCACCCTCCAGCCTCCCCCCGTATCAACAGACTCTAAACACCACATGCACGAGGCATCGTCTCAGGTCCCTCTTCCCACCCCCGGAGAACACAAGCTCGGTGCAGACAGCGGGTGGAGCCTGCACGACAGCTCACGGGCACCCCTGGGGCCGCCCTTCCCCACTCCACGCTGACATCCTGAAACCAGCCCCGGTCGGTGTGATCACACCACGGAAACCGGCACACACTGCACATCGGAGCTTCCCCGCAAGACAGCTGTCAAATATTTGCCAGCCCGCCACTGGGCCTAGGTATTAAAGTCAATTATTCCAAGACTGTCCAAGGGCCAGTCCATTTCAAGACTTGCTAGAGAACACGGCATCCTGAAAGACTAAAGACTCAAGCCTCCCTCTTCGGAAGATTCTCATTCTGCCCCTCGAAACAGCCCTGCGTTAGCCTGTGTGGAGTAACCCCTCCCCCCAGCGTCTGCCTGGCCCCTTCCCTCACACCAAGGTCTCCCAAAGTGACCCCTCTGCAGGCCAGGCACCCCACGCTCAGCACCCGTGGCCTCCCCCACAGCCTGCCAGCAACTGAGGAACAGAGACGCCGAGCCCCGCGGTGGAGGTGGGGAGCGTGCACCCCGCCCCCCAGCCCAGGCCCGCCGCTATGCCCGGGCCACGTGCTGACAAGCTGCCCAGGACCAGCCTGCCTAGCTCTGAGGAGACTCCAGACTTCCCAAGGCAGCCGTGTTCATCACCTCATGTGGACAGACCTCTTAAGAACTACGTAAGATAGAGATGAGGCAGTTTCCCCGGTTTTAGAGATGAGAAAACAGTCCTAGAGAGAGTCAATGAACACAGAAGACAGGTTGTGAAGCTGGAACCGGAATCCAGGAGAACTGTCTGGTAGAGAATTTACAGGCTGTCGTGTACAGTGCCACAGGCTGGCCACTGCACAACTCCAGGAGGCACGATCCATCACAGTCCGGGATTTGAACACAGTCCCTGAGGCTATGAAACAGGGAGACCTTGACAGCTGAGGTTAAAGAGCAGTTAAATCCCTAAAATCATTGGGATAAATTCTTTTTTTCTGCTGCACTCTCACTTTCTATGCTTTGTCCTGTGGGTACTTCAGGAAGCCTGGCTCCCTGGCTAATCACAGGGTGCCACCCCCTTCCTGCTGGCGTTTTGGGAGGGATGAGGGACCCCGGGCTCCCTACAAAACCCAGGAACTCGGGGTAAAGCTGTTAGGCAATTTCTGTGCACATTTCTTAACTTCTAGGGTAAAAGGCCATTTTCATTTAGGTCGATTGAAATTTGTCCCAAATTAAGAGCCTGAAAAGAAGCTCCTTTCTTTGTACAAAGACCCTCAGCTAAACACGTCAAAAGGGAGGCCCAGTCCTGACACCGCTGGTCGTCCTGGCGGCCAGGAGAAGCTGGAGTTCTGCTCTGTGCTGCCGACACGCTCACAGGTGAAAGCGAAACAAAACAGATCGTAGTTCTGGGTCAGGGACTTACAGGGGAAAAGAAAGTCAAGTTAAAGCCAAACGACCCTCAGTGTAAACAAAGGGGACCTAAAAAACTCGATTTAAAGGCCCAATCCTTCCTTCTTCAGACACCCTAGAGCAGGGGTCCCCAAACTTTTTAAACAGGGGGCCAGTTCACTGTCCCTCAGACCGTTGGGGGGCCGCTGGAGAGTGGGGCACACATTCCACACATGCGCACTGTGGGCCTGGGACCAGGCGGCTGCTAAGCAGGACAGGCAGCGGTGGCAAAAACAGCAGGCGGGCCAGATGAATGTCCTTGGCGGGCCGCATGTGGCCCTCGGGCCATAGTTTGAGGACCCCTACCCTGGAGCATCAGTCCCCAACCCTTTTGGTACCAGGGAGAGGTTTCATGGAGGACAATTGTTCCTAGAACAAGGGTGGGGCGGATGGGAGAGATGGGGAGTGGCTGTAAATACAGATGAAACTTTGTCCCACCTGCCACGTGGCCTGGTTCCTAACAGGCCACAGACCAGCAGGATCTGTAGCCTGGGGGTGGCTGGGGTTTGCAGCTCTTTCTAGAATGTGTTAAAAACAGGCCAAACAATCCTGACGTTCTAAAAGTCAAACCTGCCTGCACCGTGCTCAGAGACTTCCAGCCCACCTGGAAGGGGGGGCTGGGGCCTCAGAGGACATCAGAAGGGGGGTAGGGAGCTAAAGCCTCCCCATGGCCCACCGAAGAGGACACAGCTGAGGGAGGGGAGGGCCTTGCGTAGAGCTGCTCCAGGAGTTGGTCACCTCTCTCCACACTCCCTGCCCCCTGGGCCAGGACCCTGATACCCTGGCTCGCTGTGACAAGATTTCTTTGGGGGCTGCCACTCCTCTCAGTTAGGACCAATTCCCCATAGCTGATCCTAGATCACAGCCCAGGAAAAAACACTGCTCCCCTGGGATGGGGACAGGTACTGCTCTCCCCACCCCACCCCACCCCCCGCTCATCAGCCCAGCTGCCTGCCCCTTCCAGAAAGGCAGAACCCGGGGGCCAGAGGTGGTCCCTGGTGCTACAGGCATGAGTTGAAAACCCAGGTTACCAGCTGAGAACGGTGGGACCTTGGGCCAGTTACTGAACTTCATTGGATCCCAGTCCCCGTCATATGCAAAATGAGTCATTTGTTATTGTAGCAGAAACAGTTGCCAACTATTAAATATAACTGTAACATGCCCAGGACTGTACCACATCCTGAGCGCCTAGATGTTACAATGTAAAACATGAGTCTTAGAGTGGGCCGGGCGCGGTGGCTCACGCCTGTAGCCCTAGCACTCTGAGAGGCTGAGGCGGGAGGATGGCTTGAGCTCAGGAGTTCGAGACCAGCGTGAGCAAGAGCGAGACCCCGCCTCAAATAAAAATGAGTCTTAGAGTAGACAAGCCCAGTTCCTAAGCCTCTGAGCTTCCCCTTCTGCACCTGCAAAGCAGGATGAGGACACACCAAGTGACAGGTGGCAGGGAGAGCACACTACCAGATTGGACATGTGAGGGAGTGCCCAGCACGGGGCAAGTTCCACACAAGTGAGGCCACTGTCATCGTCACCACCACGACAGGGGCAGGGGCCACGGGGCTTGTAACCTCAGAAAGACCACCCGGAGGAAAGCGCCCTGCAGAAGCCTGTGGGCGGGCAGCACATTTTCATGGACAAATGTGTCTGGAGGCAGTGACGTCTGCGTTTGAATCCTAGCTGAGCTTCTCACCTTACACAAGTTACTTCCTCCCTGAGCCTGTTTCCCACACTGTAAATGGGACAAGATACATTATCACATTGGCTTATTTTTAGGATTAAATAAGTTAACATAGATCTAGCCCTTGGCACAAAACAGACATTTCATAAACACGTTTTGTCATGTGGGCACTGCGTGTTTTTCCTAAACACGATTTGGAACGATTGAGGTAGTGATCTTAGTTCAGGATCACAGTTCCCATGACAGAAAAGACCCCGATAAGTAACGGCAAGCGTAACGGCGCGTCTCTGCCGGCTCCAAAAACCCTCAATCTCTGAAAAGAGCTGCTGTGTGCAATGAGGGGAGAGCACACTCGGCTCGGGAAGAGCCCGAACTGGGACAGTTCACAGCCGTTGGTTCCCATCTCGACCAGGCAGGACCAAGAATCAGGAATGCCACCCGTGCTCTGGTCTTGGCCCCAAACAAGAGATCACAGCCAGGTGGCCGATGGCACAGGGCGGGGCCCGAGGGAGGAGGAAGAAAACAGCGGCTGCAGAACCCCAGGGCCTGGGGCTCCCAAGGTACGGGAACAGCAGGGGTGTCACAGAGGTGGCTGTGCTGTGCCCCTTACCCTCAAGTTCCTCTCCCTCACACCACACGGCGAGGGTCTCACAGTCAGGCAGTGGCTGCTTTTCTCTCCTGCCCACAACTCTCGCCCACCCCTCCGCCCTCCAGATACACCCAGAGAGCCCAGAGACGAGGAGCCCCCTGCATCTGCTCTGGTCCCCGTCCCCGTCCACCCACCTCGATACCCCTTATAGAGCACGACAAACAGCCCCGGGCAGAGGCCGCAGACCGGACTCCGGAAACACTCAGGTCCCTGTGGCAGACAAGGCAGGTGGGCTGCTGCGGCACCAGGGCTGGAAGCCACGCCCTCCCCCACCAGCACAGACAGGTGACAGCCGGCTACCTCCCCTGCGCCCCTCCACCCCCACGCAGGAGCAGGTTCCGGGGTATAAAGGAACATCCTAAGAGAGGAGAGCAGTTAGAACAGAAAGCCCGAGCCCCGCGGCGGTGGGGGCTGCCAGCCGCTCTCCCGCTCGGCGGCTACTCACCAGATTTTAGCCTGAGCTCCCCCAGGCAGCCGTACGCGTCCGTGAGCTTGCCATACTGTCCTTTAATGACTTCCTTTTCTTCCGGAGCTGGGGGAGAAACACATCACAGAAGACATCAGCGACAGTCTCCTGCTCGTTCCCGTTCATTCACACCCGGCCTGCCAATCTGGCTCCCCACCCACTCGAGACAGAAAACACACAGACAACGGCTCGGCCCACAAACACGGAGCGGGAGGTTCTGCGGCTCGCGTCACGGCGCTGCGGGCTGCAGCCCTTCCCGCCAGCGGCTTGCTCTCTGGAGGCGCCCACAGCCTCCTGGGGGCTGGAGCGGGTGGGGGAGCAGGCGCTGGGATGCTCGCTGGGCTCTGGCTGGGGAGGGGCACCTGGGATCTGGCCCTTTGTCACCCTGCACAGGCTCAGAAACAGGACTGAGTCACCCTTAGCCACCTGTGAGGACCTTTCTTCCTGAGTGTCACCCGCTGTCGGCCTCATCCGGGAGGTGCCTGCCACCCGAGGCACCTGCTGCCACCCGGGGAGACAAGGAGGGAGGCCTGGGCGCAACGAAGCCTCACCCCTACAGGAAGGCCACGGCCCCTCTGGCCGGGACGGGGGCGGGCCCTTCTGATGCTCCAAATGCATAGAATGAATTATTAATATAAGCACGGATGAGCCTTGAAGACATTATGCTACATGAAAAAAGCCAGTCACAAAAGACCTCATAAATATTCCATTTACATGAAATGTCCAGAACAGGCAAATTTATAGAGACAGAAAGCACATCAGTGGTTGGCCGGGGCTGAGAGTAGAGAAGGGGGAATGTGGATTATTGCTAACCAGTACGGGGTCTCTTTCAAAGGGGACAAAAATGCTCTAAGCTAGATTGTAGTGATGGTTGTACAACCCTGTGAATATGCTAAAAACATGACACTTGAAAGGGTAATTACGTTGTATGGTATGTGATGCATATCTCAGTAAAGCTATTATTAAAAATCAACAGAATATATTACAGAACATGTTCTTACAAAAAAAATCAACAGAATAAATAGGATTGCAAAGGACACTAATCTTATTGAAATCCAGTTATCAAGATATTTTTTTTTAAATGTTACAATATAGCAATGGACGTACCTTACTTAGTACTAGCATTTTAAATGAGAAGATCTAGTGGGGTCTATTAACCACATTAATTTCAAACTAGTGACAAGAATGAACACGATATTGAGATGCTTTCACATCACATTAGAGTGGTTGCAGATATCTGTCATCTCTGTTAGTGACAGAGTCAGAGACATGGCTACCACACGTTGGTGACCAGGTAGGAGATACAGCTCATACTGGTTTTACTGCCTGCTTTCCTAATTGAATGGAATACTAAATGTCAGCTAGGAATTACAAAAATAAAGATGGACTTTTTCCCGCACACCAGAAAATACGCAGAGCCGTCAGCAGCCGTGGCCCCGCACGAGGACCCCGGGGCCGGGAGAGCCACCTGCACGTCATCGTGAAGGTGAGAGACAGAGCAGCTGATTCCTTCTCTGCCACGTTCTCCCCCGAGCTAAAGAAAGGAATTCTCAGCCTGCCTCTACTCCCAGCGTGAAGGAATCTCAACTAGGAACTAAGATCCCAAAGTGAAATGTTAAAAAGGGTGAAAATGACAGAAAATAACAGACCCTCACCCCAAGCCCTGAGAGCAGACGCCCTGGCACTGTCTGACTTCCATCATTCCTGCTGTCTCTACAGACGAGGGTTCAGGAAAGGCCAGGGTGGAGGCTTAGACAAGCATTTTAAGTGGGTGAACCCCGCTTTAGCTGGCACTCATCCTGACACCCCGGCTCAGATGGCCCACTGCCCCACGTTTTCCAGGACGGGCTCAATTTCCGGGGTCCTCTCCACCCTCCGCCCAAAGCACACTGTACTCATCAGACCACGTGTCTCAACTGAGATTGGAAATACGATAGTCTGACGGTCCCGCCTCCCCCTGAAGCTCTTCGCACTCTCAGCCCCCACCCAGGGGCCAGCACGGGCTGCCCCCCTCGCTCTGCAGTGGGCCCAGGGGGCGGGGGACGGGCAGCAGGCTCTCGCCGCAGGTGTTGCCAGTGCCCAGCAAGTGCACAGTCCATCCAGGCAGAGAGGTGGGACAGGCCCTAAGACCAGAGGCCCCTTCCTCCGTCCTCCAGGCAGGATTGGTGACACGATGCGATTTAAAGACAAAGGCTGATTATCAGCATAGCCGGAGAGGCCAACAACCTGAAAACACACTCGATTCTCATTATTCACGGTAGTTGTGTTCTATAAAGTCACTAGCAGAAACCGAAGCGTTGCTCCCGGAGGAAAGACAGAGCTGGGGTCCTGAGAGCCTCGGGCCATGGCATTTTCATCGCCCGATCAACAGAAACGTGTTTTACGTGCATTTCTGTTAAAAGACACCTTACTGATACACAGATGCTCCTTGACTTACGATGGGGTCGTGTCCCGATAAACCCCTAAGTTGAAAACACCGTAAGTCAAAAATGCATTTAATATACCCAACCCACCGAACGTCACAGCTTAGCCTCACCTACCTTAAATGTGCACAGGACTCTTAAATTAGCCAGCCTGTAGCAAAATCATCTAGCACAAAGCCTAATTTATACTAGAGTACTGGCCATCTCATGTAATTTATTAAATACTCCACTGAAAGTGAAAAACAGAATGGTGATATGGACACCTGAAGTTTCTACCACATGTCTATCACTTTTGCACTATCGTAAAGCAAAAAAATTCTGAGTGGAACTGTCATCAAAGACCATCTGTACATTGTTGACACAGTAACATTGAGCTCACGGCCAGCAGCACTATAACTCGGACCTGAATAAAGTTTATCAGACACAGGTATTGTCTCTGCACGGCACATGGCCACCTTTTTGTGCTTAGAAACACCACACAGCGCTGCAGCACAATGCCCGAGGGCCATTTTAAACAGCGAAACCACCAGGAAAAAGCACAAAAATGTGAAAAACGTGGCACTAAATATTTAAAAATCATGAAAATGAGTATTGTTTACAGTAGGAGCACTGAAACAAGCATCGTCTTGTTCAGCCTCAGCTGGGAACAGCGGCACCAGGCGACTCCAATTTCACCTCTCTCTTAACAGTTCTATGAGCATCGACCTTGAGGTTACACACACGTTTTACAGAGGAGCTGAATTTATAGGTCTGGAAGCCACAAAATAATGACAGGAGGTGGTTATCCTATTAATACAATGCAATTATATATATATATATGTATTTATGGGGCTGGGATCCATAGTTTTCAGAAGAATCTCAAAGGGGTTAGTGGCCCCCAAAATGTTAAGAACCAATTTAATGATTTTCCCCCAATACTCACTTATTTTCATTGATTGGGGTTTGGGGGGGAAGGAAGAGGCAGAGTAACCTAACCAATGAGATCGTCTGGAGCTGAGGGCTGAGCAGGCTTTGGCGCCAACGGGGCGGGCTGGGGGTTACTCACAGCAAACGAAGCTCCTATCACACTAGGGTCTCGAGGTCCCTTGAAAAAGGACTGGGAGGCCACAGTCCCACTTTTCTACCTGCCCTGAAAAGTTAGGGCGGCTGAGAGAGGTGGCAGAATGGCGTATTAGTCTCCTGCTGTTGTTCCGTGGGCCAGAATTCTGAGAGGGGTTTCACTGGGCTCAGATGAAGGTGTCAGCAGCGTCACGTCCCCTCCCAGGCTGGGGGAAAGAAGCCACTGCCTGGCCTTCCCAGCTCCGAGAGGCGGCCCGCACTCCCTGGCTCGTGGCCCCTTCCTCCCTCTTCAGGCCAGCATGCAGCATGTCCAGTCTCTCTCCCTTTCCTGCCTCCCTCCTCCGGCTTCAAGGACCCCTGTGAGTGCACGGGGCTCACCGAGACAGTCCAGGGCCATCTCCCGCTCTCATGGCCCTTAAGCAAACCACACCTGCAAAGTCCCTTTGCCATGGAAGGTCCCACGCTTACAGGTTCTGGGAAGTAGGACATAGATCTCTTTGGGGTCAATGGATGGACCCAGCCCACTGACTGCAGCCCGGAGGTGATGAGAAACCCACTGCTAAGGCGTCCAACTGTGTCACGTGCCTACAGAGTCCCCTACTCTATGGCCTGTGAAACCCCAACCGCACAGGCAAGGAAGGTCCTGCCACAGGTGCTGCAGGCAAGGCCGGGGGAGGCAAGCCGGCAGTTCTCGGTGCCATGTCTCGGTAGACGAGCTGATAAATGCAGTAACATGATTCTGGCACCAAAAATATTTGCTCCAGCCCTGGCGGCCTCACCAAGGCTTCACACAGAGCCCGAGCCTTGGCATTATCTGGCTCTCATGTCGTTAACCACGACACAAAGGGGCCTTTGTGCATTCATTCAACTATGCAAATAAACCTGACCAAACAACACTAAGGGACAGGAAACTGCTAAACAAAGTGGTGTGGTCAAATCCACACCGCTGGGGTTGGAACAGGACCGTGGGAGGAGCCGTGGGAACAAGACCGAACCCCTGCCCTGCTGGATTAGGGATGACAGGCGTGGGCTTCACGTCCCTGTCACTGGGAAAATTAAACAAGTTAAAACAGACTTTTCACCCTAATATTTTAAAACCAAACAAAACCCAACAGGGCCCTGTCCCACTCCGATCCTGCAAATGACAGAGTCCCTCGTAAATACAACTTCACCCTTGGCTTATAATGCAGCAACTCAAAACAGACCACGCTCTCTGTGGATATGACAATGGTATGAGAAGACACTGTTTTTCTGTCGCAAACAGACTGAACGTAAACAAACCGGCAGGCTTAAAACAACACAGATTTATTCTCTCGGAGGTCCAGAGGCAGAAGTCGGGAATGAGGTGCGGGCAGGGCTGCACCACCTCTGGACCCTGCAGGGAGGACCCCACCTCGCCTCTCTCCCCCGGCTTCCGGGCTTTGCTGGGCGATCCTCGGCAGTGGCTCCATCACTCCGGCCTCTGCTGCCATCGTCACAGGGCCAGATTCTCCCGCGTGTCGCCTGCCTTTTTAGAACAGCAGCAGGCCGGGCGCGGTGGCTCACGCCTGTAATCCTAGCACTCTGAGGGGCCGAGGCAGGCGG